TTGAAGTAGAAATGGACAAAAAAACTTTGTATGAAAAGTTCTGTGAAACAAGAAAAAATCTCATCAAATGTATGCGTATTAAGTTCTCGTATTGAAGCGACACGCAGAAAATTCTAATTGTGTTTAAGCGTGACTAGAAAAGTTTCTGGTTATGAATAATTATATAAAACTTTCAAAATTGCCAATTTGTTTCAATTCTCTTTGAAATTTTCCTTTCGCGCATGCAATATTAATTTATAACAAGACTGCTCGTATCAGGGTGAAGCCCTAAATGTTCCGACTGCCTTTTAAATTCAATGGAGCAGTAATAACATGAAAAACCTAAATGTAAAATTTAAATGTAAAAGCGTTAATTTTCCCAAATCGACCAAAATGGCAATCTTTAACCCCCATAACTTTACAAAAAACGATCACAGGTGAAATATGTTTTCAAATTTAAGCTCAGAACAACAATACCTTTTGAATGATATAAAAAAAATCCCTCAAAAATGGCTAGTTAAAAAGTCGAAATTTGTCTGAGGAAAAAAAAAACCCACCCCGAACACAAATATTCCGTTACTTTCGTAACGAAAGTCAGAACAATTATAACTCTTTACTAATTTTGGCTAAACTAGACCGATTGAGAAGTTAAAATTAGAAATGACTTTTGAGCTGATTCAACAAAACAAAGCGTACAATTCAAACAGAATTGGGAATAAAAGAGCGCTTTAATTAGCCCAAAATAGCCAAATTGAAAATTTCAAATACCCGCAACTTCACTACAACCTATTCAAGTGGAATCTTCTCTTTGACTTTAGAATATAAAAACCTTTCACAAGAAACTTCAAGACATTAAAGCTTTTCAGATGATACAAAACTACCTTTCCTTCACAATTTTTGTTGCGTCAAAAAACGAAACTGATCTGAATAAAAAAGAAACACTTCCGAGCAATTATGTTTTTATACTTTTTCGAGAAACCAATGCAATAATCTCATTAAAACAGATTATTTCCTTGACTAAATATTTCCGGAATCGGATTTTTTTTTCTCCAAAACCAGGTCTTTTATCAAATTTGTAGCCGCCTACAGCGCTTTTATGAGGAAATTATTTATTCCTCCGACTTATTAGCTTTTTAAAACTAGAATAATTTTGATGACTGGATGTTAAATATAGAGGTAATTTTATGGAAAATCATAAAATAGGAAGTAAGACTACATTAACTGAAGAATTAAAAGTGTGAATTTGAAACTACATTTAATTTGAAGCAAAGGTCAAAGCAATGAAACTCCAGAGCAAGACAATATTGTTCAGCCACATCCGACTAGTAAGGGCTGTAATTGTCACGTAGATTTGCTGATTCACAGATTTTCGGTTTTTTGCTACATCGGCTTCTTGCAACTCATTTCTCACGCTTAATTCAGTTTCTGCCGCCTCATTGTCCAGTTTTTCGATATGAAAATTAATTTAATCTGAGTTTCCGGTATAACGATTTTTTGGGTCATCAATTTCCTAATTCGTCAGCTTTTTTCATTAAGAAAAAGGTTTTTCTTTATAACTTAAAAAATGACCTGCGTATATTTTGTGTTAAACAAACTACATTTACAAAAACTGTTAAGAATTAACATGGTTGATCAAAACCAATTCAAAAAAATAAAACATTTTTTGAAAACCCCCACTCCCATACCAAAATCTTCAGATCACTAAAACGAGCTCGCCTTAATTTTCTAGCGAACGCCAATTCCATTCTTTTTTCCTTTTATCGGCCAGGTGTTTCTTAGGCTTTAGCTTAATTTGCAGATTAGGTCTTCAGCAGTATTCTCAATTTTTAAATTTTTGTCAGCTGTTGTATAATCCAGCCTTACAAACCAATTGAAGGCGCAATTGTCTTTTATTTTGACCTTTGTTTGACTCAAAATTTAAGTTAAACTGTTTAATGTAAGTGAATCAGTCAGTGCTTTGCAATAAAAATACCGTATTTCTTTGATAGCTGCGTTCTTTCTTTGCTAATTAAGCCTATTAAACAGACAATGAAGAAAACAAAAAAAAAGAGAAATCTTCTTTCTATAATTCTTCTTTAAGATTAATTTCTTTCATTTACTTTTTTCATTGTTACAATATTGGTTTTAGATTTTGATTCACAAAATTCCATCTTATTAAAAATTGAAAGGTTAGATAAACTTATTGTTCCGAATTTGAAGAATGTGAGTGAATGTTTTTTCCTGGGGTAGTTATTTCTTCACACAATTTTTGACTTTTGATTTAGTTTTTTTAAGTTTTGTTTGACCATCTGAAATCAATCAAGGCTTTTATCCTGTGATCATTTTTTCCGAAGTAATCATTCATTTCCCCCCCCCGCTGCAATGTTTTTATTTTCGTGTTATATCTCAGATGAACATTCTTTTTTCTTCTGTCTTTCAAAATGGTTGAATTAAAAAGTAATGCATTATAGTTTTTCGACGCTATATTTTATGTAGATTCTTTGTTTCACTACCTTTTGAAGCCAAAGCTTTTAAGAATAAGAAGGTGTTTTTTGCTCAGATAGACTTTTTAAAAAAATTCTATCCCAATCAACTTGAATATCTTGCTTAGACGGTACTTTTTGACGGATCAATTTTCATAATCAAGTCGCTGCATGACTCACATCATAGAGGGTTGCATTAAAATCAAATATCAATTTTCAACTTTAAAAAATTCTTCAACTGCTTTTTAAAACGGGTTGTTTTTTACAATTGAATTCCGGAAAATTGCATAAGACAACCCAAAAAAAAATTGCGGTGTCTTCGTTTATTTGTACGGACTGACAGAAATGCTTATCGTTATAATTCTTTACTTTGGAATAACGATTCCGTAAGTCTAGAAATTTGAATAAAAATGACATTAATATACATTATCTCCCGCCTGAGAGGCAAATTATTTCGGTCAAGCTGCATTACAAAAAAAAATTGCGAATTATTTGCCAGAAACAAGTAGAAACAGGGATATCTGTTTCCTGTGCAAGTAGCACAGAATTTTCCGACCATAGTCTTTAAAAAACTACAAAAAAAAAGATTTTTTTTTCTTCAAATTAGTGTAATTTTCTGCGTGGTGTGATAAAAGGATCTGACATAAAACTATAATTTAGGCATATTCGACAGCAATAGTAATATAAGCAATCAGGACAACAATTTGTGAAGTATTCGAGGACGACTGTTTCTGAAATCAACTAAAATAGTCATTAAAAAAATCGGAAATTATCACATTTTTTTTAATGAAAACTTTTCAAATTTTTGGTGTTTTGATGCCCAAAATTGCATTAAAACTCTCCAAAAACCTATTTTATTCGAGTAAAATTAAAACTAAGCGTCAATAAACTATTGTAAATGGCCTAAATTAAGCATCATTAAGCGTGTTTTCTCGCTTTACTTGCTCGAACTTGGACAAAAAATCGATAACTTTAAACTTTTTTTTCGACACTAAGGAAATTTTTTGACAATTTATGATGTTGTGTGAATCACGATTGACAGAATTGAAAAATGATATATCACTCATTTCTCTCCGACAACAATTTGTTTTAGCTGATTTATCGTGGAAAACAAAAAAAGAAAAAAATTAAAACGCACCCGAATACAAAGTTTTTCCCCAGTTTATAAGTGGTCAGAACAACAACAAAAAATTCAGAATTTTATGTTCATGAAGAAAAAGATGTTGTTCCATATAAATAAAAAAACTATGCGAGCAAAATATTAGCTTAATTGATTTTACGCAAGATCATTTAAATGATCTTACGCATGATCTTTTGAATAAATATATATATTTTTCCAATAAACACTATATTCAATATCTTTATTGCAAAAGTATCTGGAGGCAAAGTTTTAAATAAACGTTTTTTGAAAAATTTTGTAAAAATAGTTTTTTTTGATGCGAATCTCCGATGGCCAAGAAAAAATTGTTCACATATAAAGGCAAAATCCTTTAACAGGTATCCTATACTTTTTCAAATAAAAAATTAGGTAAGTTGCAGTGTGAAATTTTTTCCAAATGAAATAATGCCCTAGCCACAAAAATTTTGTGCCCTCAAAATAAAATAACAAGTGCTAAGTTCTGAATCAAATGAAGAAATCATAATTAACTTGGAGGCGGAGCAATCTCTTCTGCAGGACAATCGATAAAATAAACATTACAGTCATCAAAATACCAATGAAATGATTAAAAAATATTTTTGATTTATGAAAAAAATTATAAGGGGCAATAGTATCAATTTGAGATAATTCCTTAGCTTATGTAAAATTTATACATGTATTTGGTAGTTTTGAGGATTGTACTGCTTTTTTTTAGCAATAAATCTGTAAAATTTACTATTTGAAAGTTTTTTTCTGATTTAAGTCCTTTTCTGTTTTAATACCGCTCTGCTTATTTGCTCCTTGACCGGCCAACAATTAGCTTGTCTAGTTACAATTCGAAAAATTTGTGTGGCTGATAAGATTTTATAATGTTTTTTGTTAGGTTTTCAGCATCACAGATAAAGTGTTCAAATTACTTAACGAGCAGTTTGCCTTGGTCCAAAGAGAGTTTACAGTAGTGCTTAGCACACACAATTATTAGCACGTAGAGTCCAATTTCGATCACCACTGAAGAAATTTAGTTTTATTTTTGGTCTGAATAACTATGAATTGATTTCGAATATAGAAGACAATTTTTTGCTCGTTATTGTCGTTCAAACATCGTTAAAATTATACCAAAGCGGCCGGCCCTTTGGATGCGAGTTGGTTGTTTTCCTAAAGGAGAGGCCTCCATTAACCCTAAAATTATTTTTTGTGTTACTGATACTTGTCTTGTTTAAAAATGATTTTAGATTGCAGTATTGGATATAATTTTTAATTTCACAAAAACTGAGCAGGTTTAGCCATTTGAGGTTTCGGCAGCATAGTTGAAATATAATCAAAGTATCAAGGAAACGAAACTTGAGATTTTGCTTCCTCTTTTACTGTAAATTTTCCGATTGTCATAGTGAGATTGATGACTTCCGAATAAAAGTGATTGCAAAAATTCAAATTAATGTTGAAACACAAAAAATCCTGGTTCTTGTTCAGGAAAGAAAAATTTTCACAACTTGGATAGAAACAATGAATTGATTAAAAAAGATAATCACGAAAAAAAGGAAATTGTTGATGGATGAATTTATGCGGGTTGTGAGTCTAGTTCATAAAGTGCCTATGACATATAAGAAAAATAATCCAATTCTTACTTTCGGCTAATTGCATTTTGTGAAATCTAATCTTATAATAATAAGAAAAAAATTTTGCCGTTAAGGGCTTATCATGTTTTTCACTTCCCGACAAAAATTCTCAACTTTCCTGAGTGAAACTTATCGAAAATGGAAGCGCAGTTGATATACTATCCCAAAATAGCTGAAAATAGCCGCAAAACATGAGATTTACTAATTTATCGGACAATATTTTTCATTTTCCTTCCCATTTGTAATTTTATAAAGTTCATTAGGAGGAAATATAAGTTGGGTATCGACGTTTGAGCTATCCGTTTCCTTGTTTTTGGCAAATTACCCACGCAAGTTCTTTCTTCATCAATTATTGAAACGCAATTTCTACTTTTTGCTATCAAGAACCCTTTTGTTATAAGCTTTTTCTCTCTGTCAATCCATCAATGTAAATTCTGTATTGGTATTTGAAAATTATAATATTACTTTTTCTCCAAATTGACAAAATTGGAACATTGAGGGAAAATTTAAGCAACTAGAGCTCAGTTGGGTTGATTTATTAAACCGCTTAGTTGAAAAAGTTGAATAAAATTGGATCTAAAAGTTTGACTGCTGGTTTATTTCACACACCGATACACAAACCACGTGATATTGGCCTCTTATTCCTTCATTCACCTCGAGTTATCTTTTTAAAGACCTGTGAATTACCTTTTGGACTTACTTCTTCTTTAAAAATTGCCCCTAGCTCGGTCAGTTGGGAATTGTTTTCAAATTTCAAACCAATTTTATTGTTTCTGATTTTCACAAAAATCAGCCTGGATTAAAATTTTGACGACACTGAGCAAATAAACAACATGGAAAGTGCTGCTGTTACGTCATCCAATCCCGACTATGAGGCTGATGACATAATTTACCCTCAGTGGTTTATCATAACTTATAATAACACCATCTTCTTATGTCTGTTGGTGGGTTTCGTGAGCAACTTTTTCATCCTCGTCAACAGCTTCACAGATGCAAAAATGAGAACCACCAACTACTTCTTTGTCATGAATTTGGTCGTCGTCGATATTTTCGTCATTCTCGGAATTCTTGGTAATTACATATTTTAATTAATTATACAAAACAGAGAGCCCCTATAAAGAACTTACTCAACCCATTACGCAGATGCAAAAACTGTACCAAACATTAAATTGTTATCCCATATTGCAATATTGAGTGCGGGCAGTAGACTATTTAGGGGGTGGACATTTTTTTCTCAGGGATTCGAACCTTTGCCGACCCAAAAACGCGCAGAAAAAACGCAACTTTTTGGTCAAAATTTTTCAAAAAGTGCCTAAAAACGCCAAGAAAATCCTAGATCCGCCCCTGGGTGCGGGTGAGGGGGTGGTATTAAAAATCTGTTTTGGGTAATCGGGGTGGAGGGATTTGTTAAGTAGGTGCGGTGCTTTTATTGTGGCTTTTGTTGCAGTGGTGAAGGAAGTGGCGATTGCGATGGAGAGCGAGAACTTCTTCCTGGCCTGTTTCCCCACAGTGTGGAACTTCGTGGTGAACTACAGCGCTTCCAACTACATCCTCCTCATCCTCTGCTACGAGAAGTTCGTCATGATCACTCTCCCCTTCCGCAAGGACAAACTCCTCTGGTCAGTTCACTTCACTTCACTCATTAACCTATCTCTCATTATTCATAAACAGCTCAGGTGGCCGAAAGTTCAGGTGGCCGAAAAGAAAACTACTAAAACTGAACAGAGCATAGAAACCATAATAATAAAAATAATTTGTTTTCAAGTCGCGGTTGGTTACAATCAAAGATCGAATTATGTATAACTTGATGAAGCACGAACTTGGGAGATCGTTAAGAGAGTGACGTCTCCTCCGGGAAATTAATAGACATAGTATAGGCCTATCATTATAAACCAGCCGAAAGTTGCGTGATTTTTGTTATTGCTCGGGTCAGTTTAGCCATTTTATTCTCTGGCTTATAAGCAGACCAATTTTTGAGTGTAGACAAGCTGGCCGAAAAAAACTGACCAAAATTATACCAAGAACTTGTGCGATTTTTGAGTGTAGACAAGCTGGCCGAAAAAAACTGACCAAAATTAGCCAAAACTCGAGTGGTTTTTTTAAGTGTTACGTACTTGTTAAATGTAGCTTTTCTGTATGTTCGGGTTTTTTGGTCAAAATGATAGCTAGTTTAGATTCCTTCATTTTTTTGGTTCTTTCAAACTTTTCAGGAAGTGAGACGGAACTTTGGACCAGGTAGCATTATCTTTGATTTATAGTTGGAATGAAAGGGGAATAGTTATAACAGAATTTAACCAGTGAAGTTCACACACACGCACATTTCACATGAATAAACTTCTCTTTAGGAAGGAAAGAATGATTATCTGTTATTTTAGCCATAATTACCCAAATTTGAAGATTTTTATCTATTTTATTTTAATCTGCTCACAACACCCACAGGAAAAAAAACTAAAGGGAAAAAATCCAAAGAAAACTTTTTTCAAGTTTTATAATTTTTTTCTTTTTTCTTAAATCTTTCTGATTCTTTTCTTTCTGGTTTTACTTCTTTTACTGCTGAGTAATCAAGTATTTTGCGAGGAACCATAAAACGAAAAAAATAACTGTAATAAGGCAACTATGTTTGATAATTTTAGTTTGATAGTTTCACTAAATATTTACTGTTGAATCATTTTCAGACATGATTTTTCCATTTGCTAGTTTCTCCTTTTGAGATACAATTTTCAGATTTTGAAACAAAAAAAATTGCTTCTCAGATTTTGATGATTGAAATTTGCTAGAATCATAACGAAATACCGAATGTACAGATTTGAATGGTTTGTTTTACACAGAGTCGCCAGTTCTATTTGAGAAACTAATTAAGACGTCTAGAGGTATAAAAAACACCAACGCTAGAATGCACAAAGAAACCAAGAAAAACAAAATTTAGAGTAAACAAAATAGGCATGCGAACCTCATGTCAAAAAAAGTAGTATGGTCTTTGATTCAACTTGCGCTAGTCATACAATTCCCGGGTCGTTTCTACTTATTTCGCCCGAATTCGCCCGAAGCTCAAATTATGAGAACAGAAATAAAAATGGTCCAATGTGATTGGCTGAAATTATCTACAAAAGGCATCTTTAGCTGGAACAAGGCAATAAATTATTACAGATGCGCAGCTCAGTTATTTTGGGCGGAAAAACTAAAAAAGAACCATGCATTATAGCCCTCAGGCTAGTGCAAAAAATATATAGCTCCAAAGCTATCCGATGGTTTTGATGGTACGGAATAATTAATTTTGACCTTTTCTGTTATACGACCCAAAAACGGATAATTTTACTATTCTGAAATCTTGATCACAATGCTCGAATCTATTTGGTTGAAATTCATATACGCCAAAAGTCATATGACAAAAAAGAAGCTCAATTAACAGTTTAATTATTTTCGGCCGTATAACAGAAATGACCCAGTAAATTAATAGGGGCTATAATAGAAAAATCCGGGTTGAATTTTTTGTCAAGTAATTTCCACGGTAAGAGGGCAATTGGGTCATTGGTCTTCGACAATTTACAAAAGAAGGGGATCAAGGAAGCCCAGTTTGGATCCAAATAGGTAGACAACTCGGCTGGTCTAACCCATTCAAAAGCGTATAGAGGAACAAAAACTTGACTCATTGAACCCCTAATAACAAAACAGAAGCTTTTCGTGGATTTTATTAGCCTCTTTGGCTGTCGAAATCTTCTGTGCTACCTATGTTCCAGTAATCCTTGGTGTTACACTCCATTTGTTCTGCTTGAACGAAAATTCATGAAACCAATTTATAGAAAACTAGCCTAATTAGAGGTGTTTATACTTATTTCGACCAAAATAGCCAAACAGCGCATCAATATTTTAATGCCGTATTCAAACCAACGATGCCAAACGTGTTGATAATTCGGGTCAATCAAATTGAAGAATTTTAATTTCTGCTCTCATAACTTGAGGAAATAAAAAAAAAACATCAATTCCCAAAATTTAATGTCCGACAATTTTCTTTATACTTTTCAATTGTATATCAAGCGTGTTGTTTTCGTTGGAACTATATGACTACCATTATTGTGCCGACTTTCGATCCCAAAGTAACGGAATATTTGTGCTCGGGGTGGGTTCTTTTTTCTTCAGACAAATTTCGACTTTTTAACTAGCCATTATTGACGGAATTTTTTTATATCATTCGAAAGGTTTTGTTGTCCTGAGCTTAAATTTGAAAAGACATTTCACCTGTGATCATTCTTTGTAGAGTTATGGGGGTTTTAACATTGCTATTTTGGCCAATTTGGGAAAATTGACGCGCGATATAATTTGCGCTATGAACGCGCAAGCGGAGATTTAATTCGTCTTATAAATCGTTCCAAATTGGTTGAAGCTTATTTGCCATAATTGATTTGTTACAAAGAGCGAAATCTATTTTTTTGTACTCGATGGATTCTTTTGTACTCGATGGTGTGGGGGGATGGTTTCATAAAAAAAAGTTCCAAATTTTAGAATTTTTTTTTTTCATTTTATTTTATTACAATTAGTTTTTTTTAATGTTTATTGCAGCTCCATAAACCTTAAAAGGCAGTCGGAACATACAGGGCTTCGCCCTGATACGAGCAGTCTTGTTATTTATGTTAGCAAAATTCTGCTTCTTCCGACCTTAGATAGTGGGCAGAAGCTCTGTCTCCGTGTGTGTTTTAGAATTTTTTAAGCATGATCAACTACCACAGTAAAATCATCAGATTGATTTCTCATATTCAAGCCTCTTCAGTTAGGCTTTAAACTACCCATACAATTTCAAAATGTTTTTTCTGTGTTGAAAAGTTTGAAGTTTTTGCTTGAAGTAGAAAAAAACTTAATTTAACTAATTTTTGAAACCGAAGTTCAAAAAAACATACTGCAAAATGTTTGAACAAAAATCACAAATTTTTATTTTTTTATTTGTTTTATTTTGTTAAAAACAAAAACACATTATGCGTAATTTACTAAGGCTTAGTTCAATTTCCAAAAAGGAAGCTAATTTTTCAGCCATGAAAAATTTTGAAAAAACGTTTGGTAAAAAACTTTGCAAATACATTTTTTTAAAATACAATTGTACTATTTTATGCCTTATGTTCAGTTCAAATTGCAGTTCAAAAAATATCAAGTTAAATGAAACATGAAAAAAAAACAATTATCATAACTAATAAGGTATCAAATTGGTTGAGTAACAGCAAAATTCTGTAAGGCAAAGACGGGTGTGTTTAATACCTTATTTGGTCTCCAAAAACACCGTTGTTGGAGAAAAAAGTTGGCGTTTGAGGAAAAAATTTTTTTTTGTCAAATCTTTGAAACTTCAGCTGACAAAAGGATTTGGATGTAATGAACTGGAATTCTATAATAAGATCTGTAATTTCTTTTCATCTTTTGGGACGAATACTTTTAAGAAAATAAGTTGCTGAAAAGTTTCAATCAATTTACAATTTATACAGAGTTTTACCAGTTCACTCGTAAGTTTCACTGCAAGGCCTTGCAAGCAATTTTTTTAAGTTCATATTTATTTTATGTGAAAGAATGTTATCAGATGCCCCGAAGTTTTTTACCATCCAATTTCTAGGCTTTCTTTAAGATTCTTTTAACACGCCAAAAACAAAAGACGACGTAATATGAAAAAAAAAAACATTCTTCGTAATTTTTTTTTAGATATGGTCGGAACTTTCTGTGCTATTTGCACAGCAACTGACTATCATTGTTGACATTTTATTATCTGTTTTAAATCTCTTGAAATGCGTATTCGTGGTACTTGATTATGAGACATCGATTTCGCATTAAAAACGTATCATAACTGGAAGTTTGTTCTCATTTTTACTCAATTGAAGCAACAAGAAATTTCGATAGCTGTGAAATAGGTGAAGAGTTTTCGGACTTTTGGACACTCAGATGAAATAAAAGACAAACAATTGTCTCAGTTGTATCTGAGGATTCACGAGGATCAAGAACAGGTTTAAAAGACCGAAATTGTAATTAGCCTAATTTTTCAAATCCGATTTTTGAAGTGTGCCCATTTTTCTCGAAAATAGTAGTATTTTGAAATTATCCTATTTTAAAGAAAATGAGACCTCTAAAAGGGACCAAGTTTAGAAACCTTGTCCTTCAGAATATTGAGGCATGTAGCTTTTTTCTCAAATTTAGAAACCCTCTAACTTTAACTTTTTTAACCGCGTTATTCAAACTTTTTGTAACCCTCTTCCAAAAATTTATCGGATCGGCATATTTGCCAAACTGTATGTATTCTAATTTTAAAATTGGGTAGCTTGTATATCTTTTTTTCAAACTGGTAACCACCCTTTGATATTTTTCAGATGGTATCAAATGAGTGTACAAGTTTTTTCTGCATTTAGAAGATTTAAAGACGTCATAAAAGCGTATGAAAGGCGTGCTCAATAAAAGCGTCTCATTATTTGCAAAGTGAAAGCGATACTACGGCTGAGATCAACTGTCAGTCATACGAGACCAGACTGTCATACTCTTTATATAATATATCTTTGAAATTTAGCTTTCATTATGGTACAGTTATTTTTCAAGCTCCACTTTAAAAAGTTTTTGAGATGTTTATATTGAGATGTTTATGTTCTATGTTCCAACT